GGCAGGCGATCTGAATGGACGAGATCCAGAGTCTGTAAAATCTTATAAAATTTTCGTTCTTAACCACCTTTCCAACGGATCGGTCTATCCAGGACTACTAAAAATAAACATCTTGGACTCGATTTCCTTTTTCTTCTTATTTGGCGCTATGCTGCCTAAGCGATTGGCCCAGTTCAACAAAGCCGTTTTTCTTCTGTTCCAACTGACGCCGATTGGTTTTTACATCGCAGTAGGGGCCTCCCTCTTCCTCTGCTACAGCGGCTTCCGAGTGGAATACTTTCAGAGCTAGAGCGTCGGAGTCCATTCGAATGGCATGGCAAAGCCAGCGGAGCCGCCGCATTTTAATTCACTGCACTATGTCTATGTCATTGTAAATCGCATGCAGCTCATCGTTCCCTCGTCTTCCCATTCGCTTTGCTTCCATATTCAACTTGGAAAAGGCAGAACAGACTTAGTGGTTCTTGTTACCGATGTTGTCAATGTCAGCGGCATAAGCCCGCAATTGCACCTCTTGTAGTAAATTGCTCCTGAGCGAATCAGTTATGCAGTTCTTTTTATCTTCTCTAACATAAGATTAATGAAATCACATGAAACGGATTCGTCCTGCTCGGCTCGGAGAGATCTTTCCAGATTTTTGAGGAGCTGGTGGTATTGTTCAACGTCTTTTACACAGCCGTATCGGGTTCGCAGGGATGCCAAATTCAGACACCGCGGCGAATAAGCAACTCCTTCTAAACTTTTGTTATACCTGTTTTTGTATTACTTGCGTTGAATCTGTACGATCCAAAAGCAGTTAAATTCCCCTATCTAAATTTTGCGTTAGCTCACTTTAGATCTAGGTGTGCGATATAGCCTGAAGTCGCATTGCGAGTACTCATTTATTTAGATCAGTGATAATCAGAGAGAGAGAGAGCTTTTACTCTATGTGCACCCATATATAATCTACAGAAAGCTTTAAAGCGTTCAGCGCACGGGCGCTATTTTGAGCATCATTGATTTACATCGGTGATGGGCACCGCCTTGCACGCGGGCAAAGTTCTTTTAAGCTTTCTATACATTTTCTATAGTCGCGAGCAGAGTAAAAGCTCTCTCTGCCCATCGCTGATCAGTGTTGCCAGAACTTTTTGGGCCGACCGGCTAGATTGGCAAAAAAAGCGGCTAACAACGGCTAAAATGTTTAAGTGAAATTTCAAATGATTTATTTAAATAAATCGCAAGAAACGAAAGACTAGTTAACACCATTAATTTATATCGAGTGTATATTCCTCATCATCAAATGAATCACTATTGTATATATCACCTGAATTCATTAATTTTAAGAGATCGTCATCTACAGTAAAATTATGGCAGCATTTTTCTTCACGTTTTAAACCGTATCTTATATATAAAATAGAGTTTAACGTTTTAACGCACATTGGATTTCTTTGCTTAGTTTTTATTATATTCATTGAACTAAATATTCGCTCTACTTCTGCATTACTTATAGGCAAAACAAGAAAACTAAAAACTAGGTTGCAAAGGTCAGCAAAAGGGTTTTCTCCTAGAGCATTTCGAATTTGATAAACTTCGGCCCAAAATTTTACAGTTGAGTCTAAATTACTCCAGGTATGTAACGTTAACCGTTGCCATTGCATCTCTATAGATGTTATTTCGTCGTCATTATATTTGTGTTTTTGTTGCTGTAGTTGAACAAATACTTTTGGTTTAATTACTCTTAATGCATTTCCAACCGAAAAAAGTAAATTTTTTTTAGTGTGGCAATATTTGTAGGGAGGCGTTGGCGTAATTCCTTTATTAAAGAGATAATAAAATAGCGACCATTTTCTCGAATTATTTTCTCGGCTTCGTGGTCAAAAGCGTTTGTGCTTACTTTTGTTTTTAAATACTCTTCAAAACTGTGATAAAACTGAGGAAATGGAGCAAGGTATGGTTCCAACGGGAAGCATATAGGATCAAATGTGTCCGCGCTAATAACCACTAGGGAGCATAGATGCGAAAGTAAAACATTGAGTTCATTAAAAATCTTCATTGGGTCTGCATTATTGCTTTCGAACAACTTGTTTACTTTTTGCACCTGAAAATTAGGCAAATAGTAAAATCGGCTAAAAACGGCTAACTTTTTTTTACAAACCGGCTAACAAATCGGCTGCCGGCTAGATCGAATTTTCTCCGGCTAGTTGCTATCAAAACCGGCTAAATCTAGCCGGAAAACGGCTAAAATGGCAACGCTGTCGCTGATATACATACGTGCGATTCATTTCCATTAATTTTCAAACGCTTTATATTGTGTCCTATTCAAAACTCTTTTCACTGGAATCCTGCGAAGCGATTGATTGCCTAAGTATTTTAAATGTTTCTTTAAATAAAATTAAAAGAGAAAAAACTCAAAAGTCCGGTGGCAAAAAAAAAATCAACAGGAATTTTTCAATAGGTTATAAAACTGTTTACCCAAAAATTTTCTAAAAATTTTGAGAAAAAAGTTCGAAATTTTGTTGAAAATTTTTTGAATTCTTCTAAATTATAGCTTTACTACTTGATTTTTATGATATTGGTTAAAGCACAAACAATATTCTTATACAAAAGTAGTAAAAAAAAAAATTATTTGAAAAACATTGTAAATATTAAGAAAATAAAAAGCGGTTTTTTGAGTCACTCCAGTTGTAGTTTGTTTAGATGATGAAGTTTCGTTGTTGTTGTTGTTGTAGTGGCTTCCATAACCCCGCCCAGATCGGTTAGTTTCATTTTTGCCTTTAGTTTCATCAGTTTCGCTTTTGGTTGAAGGAAACCGGGAAGCAGTCATTAGTATGATCTCAAATATCATATCATTAGTTAAATAAAAAGTTCGCTAATAAAAAAATTTAATTTTTTTTGAAATAACTCAAAAAAGAACAAACCTATAGTTTTTATGAAAATAACTAAAAAAAAGTTATTGGTGGATATTTTCCAGATTTGGTAGATTTTTTCAAAGTAAATGGTAAGTATTTTTGTACATCAGTGGCAACGCTAGTTGTGAGTTTTGCTTTCGGAGTATACTGCATTTTCTCACAGTTACAGAATTCAGCCCCTGGTTATAACTATTTCAGCGTTCTCAACTTCTAGGTAAATATTGAAAAAAAAAATTGCAATTTATCGAAATAAATTGAAAAATAAGTAATTTATCTAAAATAATACCGTGGCAAATACTGCGGCAAGGCGAAGCGAACAACGAGAAAAAGGCAGAAATGTCAAGTGGATGAATACTGGGAACAGCGAGAGAATGAGAGAATGACCGATAAACTTCAGAATTTTCCTCGCACTCATGGGAGCGCATGTAACTATATAAGGCCGCTACCACAGTGGTAGTCAAGCTACCAGTCAGTAAGTTGCGAAGCTATAAGCAAGTTGCGGAGCAGAGTAAATTGTGTCATCAAGTTTTGTAAGCGTTGTAATTGCTTTAACGAGTATTTTAAAGTGTTTGTTGTACAATAAAGTAAATTGTACTGTAATCTGATCATCGTGAGCGTTTATTTAACAATCCAGCGATACGAGCCGCAAGGATTTTGGGAAATCCGTTATGTATTCAAGTATAAACGTAACAATAATTTCTGTAGACTGAAATAGATAAATAGGAACAGCTAAATAAATATACATATAGATAAATGATTGTGGTACTACCGTTCTACTGATGCCATTCAATAAAAAAAACGCACTTTTTTGTTTGTTTTTGTTTTTATCGTAAAGTTTTATCATTTACTTTTATTTATTTGTTTAAAATTTTATATACTCATTTATTCTTCATATACGTTTAAATGTCTTTTTTGTTTTTATGTATTTTGTATGTTTAGTGTTCACATTAGTTTATTTCATGGATTGCATTATTTCCATATTTTCCAATTGTTATTTGTTTTGGTTTTTTGTTAATGTAAATATTGTAATTGTATTTGTAATGTCCATCGAAAATAATTAAAAACACCCATTTAAAACTGCTGCTTTTGACGCATACATACATATGTATGTATGTATTTATTTGGTTTCTCTTGTTGTTTGAATTTTCTGCATGAAGTTCTGTCTATTTTAACTTATTTGCTTAGTTGTGCGATGATGCTCCGATGTACACATGTATGTAGGTATTCGTATTGTGTTCGTGTGTGTTAAATTTAAATATTTCGAGATTTGCTACATCAATTCAAACTGTCACTATTAAACGCTCAAAGGTCTATATTCAATTCTATTTAAGAGTATTTTGATGCTTTTGCGAACGAGGAAAAAAAAGAAAATATGGAGCTGGATACGATTTGCGAGGAAAAAAATTTTAAAATTTTTTTTTTAGGTTTTGCAAAGCTTTAAATTCTAAAGATGGTTAATAGAGAGAGAGAGTGGATGAGTATTTGTGAGTGAGTCTTTTTTATTTTCTTTGTTTGTGTGTATGTATGTATGTATTCATCTTTTCTTTACAATATTTACAGATTTTCATATTTGAATTATTTAAAAACGGCTACAGTTGTTGTTGCACTTTAAAAGTGTATTATTTTTCGTTTCCCTTTGTGAGTGAGTGACAACTGCTTGCTTTGCTTGACAATTATTTTGGCCTGACTTTGAAAAATTGAAAAGGAATGTAAGAGCTGTTTACTGTTGCTGATTTTTAAAATAGTATTTGGTTTTGTTTTTTAAATAAACCATAAAGCAAAGGGAGTGTGGCACAAAGTCAAATGAGCATACTTAAATCATATATAATTTCTGGAAATAATCAGCCAATTTTGAAATGTTTTCTTTGCCCTTTAAGTCATCGCATTTTTTCATTGAGTGCCTGCAAGCGAGCGAATTTTCTTGAAATGCATTCTATGTATTTATGGTTGTGTGACTTCGTTAAAGACTGTTGTAGCTGTATAAGATGATGTTTACTTTGTATGTATGTGTGTGTGTCAAATTTTCTGTCAGCATAGAAATGCAAATATTTTATTTATTAACTATTATCTGTAAACTTTTTGGTAATTGGGGTTTTTTAATTGTTTTAATTTTTGTTTTTTTTTTACTTTCATAGTAAAATCTACTTAATGTGTTGGATTTGGCTTTTTCCTTATATCTTTCATTGTAAAACAAATATAATTTCACCTTTTGTTTCATTTCCTCTCAATACTTATGTATTTGTTTTTGCCTCCTCCTCGTACTGTATCGTATATAAGTAATAATTCTTAATTTAAATTTTTGAATCTTTTACTTTTTTAATTTTAATAAAATTTTAATTTACTTTCGGTTCGTACCATCTGTACCACTGTCGCTCGTACGCGTTCGGCCAGAATCACATAGCTAATCGAAATTCGTGCCTCGCGTTCGTCCACATTCGGCTCTTGTTCGGACGCATCTGCTGCCGCCAGTTCGAGTACACACTTGCTGTTTTATTTAACTGCCACATCCACCTAACTTACTTTATGTATGTATATGTATAATTTTACTGTCTTTTATTTTCATTTCAATAATTTCATTTCTTTTGGTTTTTGTAACTTTTTGTTTTGGTATGTAATTGCAACTCTTCTTTTTTAGCAACTCTTAATGTATATATGGTATATAAGTCTGTTGTATTTTTTTGTTTTATTTATTTTAAACGTACTTTTCAGTGTTTACTATTTTTGTAATCAAGTTGTGGAGATCTCTATAAATACTTTTTAAGTGGTAAGGGTTTTCACTGTTATTTATTTATTTATTTATTTGTTTTTTCCTTTGCTGCAGCTACGCATTGGTTTGGTTAATTTTATTTAACGTTTTAAGTCTGATCTTAGTTTACCTTCTGTTTTTTTTTTTATCTATTATTCGTTTCACTTCTTTGCTTTGTTGTATGTAAGTATTTGTAAGAAGTCTGTCAGTTAGTAGTGTTTTTGTTTGATTTTTAAAATTAAATGAACTTTCCCCTTTTTGCGAATTTCATTTTTCTGTTTGTATGTGTATTTATGTATGTGGTGATACGAGTACTTGCATGCGATTTAGTTTGCATTACGTTTCAATATTTTCAGTTTTATTTTTCTTGAATTCAAATTGAAACTCTTCGCTGGGTTGGTAGTGTACTGCCGGGGAATTAGGCGCGTGCTTTGCGTACACCTGGAACGAGAGAAATTATGGCATGCAATTAATAGTAAAAAATTACAGGTTGCCAAAAATTTTATTCAAATAAACATATTAATTTTTTGAAATATAAATATAGGTAGTAGGGTGATTGACACGGTTTTTTCAAACCAGGTTTTTCCGAAGTTTTTCGGCGTTTTATTTTTTAAACCGTGCTTTTCGCATACGCGTGCCTTTTTTTCTAAAGAAATATTCAAGCAATCACGACCGCCCTTAATCATACAAAAATTTAAGAAATAACGAATTAAGCGTCTCTTAAATGCGTCTGTGTACCTTACTTGGTAAGTGGTAAGCACTCACATGCTTAGGTAGATAAGAATATTGTAAAGATAGCAAACACCAGCTCACGCAGACAGCTAATGCGTCTGGAATTAATTTTCAAGTTTCCAAAATTTTAGTATTAGCATTTTTGCGCAAATTGCCTGATGGTCTTTCTAATTCGATGGACTCCAACTCTTTCCTTGCTCCGACAAAGTTTTCAATCCATATTGAATTCAACTTCAACTCAATGAGCCTCATCGAAAACTCTTGGATTTCCCAACCAATCAAATTTAAACAATGATAATTCCTTGAATTCAGAAAACCTCGATGAAAATTCTTAGATGACACACTGAGAAAAAACAAAATAAACCATAATGATTTTGCTCAAAACAAGCTTTTGTTAACTTTGAACAGATTTATTTCTGGAGATTTTTTTCGTTTGAACACAATTACGTTGGGCACTTCACAGATACTTTTTCATAATTAAGAAAAACTGAAAATAAAATTTTTTAATTATATACTCCGCCTAATGAGATTTGAACCTGGACACTCTAAGCCGCAATTAATTTTAGCGAGCATTTTGCGCACTCAGCTACAGGCACAACATGTACATAAGTGTGCTTTCAAATGTTCGCTTTGAATCAAAACAAATCACGCGATTGGTACATTTGTTCAAATTTGTGTTCGATATTTACGGAGTGGCGTTGTTTGGAAAAATTTTTATTGGGCTGAACTCATTCTCTATGAAAATTTCTACACAACACAATCCTGTGATCGGTCGAACAAACTTATTTTCAAGTTACTAATCTAACCATTCTACTTCAAATAACTCGAAAACCGGTTTGGAAAAAAGTCGAGTAATCGAACACCCTACTAGATACTATATAGTAAAAATCATGGCCACTGAGGAGAGATTTTCTCAAGTAGCGCACTGGTTATTAGTTGCACCAAAATTCACAAATTTACACCAAGGTATACACCAGTATACTACTTGAGTTCTTGAATATTACTAAACACGAAGAAAGTGTGGAGAGATTATATTCAATGAATCTTCTTTGATGTTTGAATTAGGTTTTATTTGAGTGCTTTTACAGAGGGATATTATTAGATATATATAAATACATACTAGATCCAGTGTCGGACGGTTTCGGCTTGGCCAAGGGGGTTTCGCGTAATTGGAACTTCGGGCTTGACAACACCGGGTACCCAGTGAAAGGCCGCCAGTTCTTTAGTCGAGTGGAGGCTCAACTGGCAATTCGGCAACCCGGCTTTCGGCGGGTTCCGAACACTTAGTACGGCAGAGGTATAGATGGGCCTCGAGCCCTGCCAAGGTGGTTACTGTGTCTACCCCACACTGCCAATTGGTAAGGTAAGGTGCTTGCATTTCAAGGGAATTGATCCGTTGTGCTATAGGCCACCGTAACCTCACGGCTCGTTTTAACGACAGGTACTAACGTCTGCCTTTTACTACTTTGAACTCAGTATGTAATTCAGCAGAAATAAGTAATCTATTAATGAACCAATATCACACCTTACATGTTCGCCCTAACGTTTTGTGTAGCAGAATAAATGATAACACCTGTAGGGAAGTCCCGTGGAGTAATTGCAATAATGATGCATGATTCTTGACCCTTTGCGCATTCTGACCGCAATTATCGGGAACGATGTAATAGGAATTGTTTTTTTTTTAATATTACAGTCTCAAGTACCCATATTTTAATGTTTTTTTTTCACAAGTCAGAGCTGAGCTCACCCAAAATTGCTTGAGCGGTTATACATAGCGTCATTGAAGAACAAGTTAGTCTGACCAACACTTTATAGTCAGTTCCAAAAATACAATATTTTTTTTTTCAAGGCTGCATCGCATCCATAACTGAAGTCAAAATTAGCTTCGACTGTCGTAGTTTCAACTCTTCGTCTTTGGAGTTTTTTTGTCACTAGTAAAATTGTCTAACCGACAGATTAGTTCTCGAAAAGCCTGTCTGCTCTGACAAAACTTCGAAAAAGGAGGTGTAACCAGCTAAGATTTTTTTTGTTTTCTGCAAAACCGGTAAACGGTTATAGACATTATTATTTATATGTGAGAGTCATTGAAGTTAGCGTCAGTGCAAACGTTTTTTAGATTATACATTTTATCTTTATAAGTGAATTCTTGGTACAAATTGAATTTTTTTTTGCCACTTCCCTAATTAGAAGAGGAGCTAGGTGTTAAAACGCTTAGCTAGTAAGTTATAAATTCGCAGCAGTTAGTATTCATTTTAGAGCCACACCTTAGCGTCAAATACGAATACCAAAAATAAACTTCTGTCTAATGAAGTTCATGTTCCAGGAATTTGCAAGTAATTTGTATCGAACCCACAGCCATTATCTGAGCTGAATAAAGCGAAAGGGTCATTAACTTGGGGAAGTTATGACGGAGCGTCCCACTACGCTAGTGAAAAATAAAAACGAAGAAGTAAAATAAAAATTGAATTTTCACTGATTAGAAAAACATGAAAGCGATGCGCATAGACTGATAAAGCAAATAAACGTTAGCTGCAATAGCTGCTAATACTTATGTAGCATGTTTCGGTTCGTGAAAAGTCGCTGTCCATTCATTATTTGCCAGTCACGCCATAGTATGTATGCATGCACGAACTTCTGCGGAAGAGCAGTCAAATGGGTGTAACGTGGGCAAAGTAAATAAATAACAAGGATAGCGAAGAGTAGGGGAAACATTGGCTAGACAATGTTTGATTTCCTTAAAATAATATATCGACATTGGTGTCATAACACAGTCTGTGAAAAAAAAACTGGCACGAATTTTTACAGCTATTAAGACTGTTTATTCTCGTTTCATACTTCGTTTTGGGCTCGTTCACAAACCCAAAGGGGTTCTGGTAAAAGGAGTACAATGCTCTTTATATATATAAAAAAAAAAAACTAGTGCTTCACCTATAACAAACTAGATTTTCCCCTGTTTATAGCTTAGAGAAGTTTTGTGCAATTAAGGTCTCGAATAGCGCATTTTAAACAGGGAAATATATATGTAGTTTGTTTTAGATAAAGCACTATGTATAGGTAATACAATTGTAGGGTGCATTTAACCCAAGCCCACCCTAACAATTTTTTGGGTGGATTTTTCTCATGCTTTCTTGTCAAGCAGTTACTTTAAAAGCACTGGAAACACACAACCTTGCGCTTTTCAATGAATATAAGATTATTAGAATCCGTGGAAAACTGTACAATTTGTGACCAGTGTTTTGACCAAATATCCCGATTTCCCGACATTTTGATCATAGCTTAAGATTTCGAGAGTATACTCGAAATTCTGCTAGTGCCAAAATTATTTTTTTAAGAAGTCTAAACAATTTATAACTGTATGCCTTTGGTCAGAAAGGTTGCTCAAAAGTAATTCAAATGGTGGAACAAAAAATATTTATCAGCAGAGTAATAACAACCCAGTGAGAAAATGTAATGTCTGGGAAGGCAATAAGCTACGAAGAGATGCAAGAATTTCTACACAGCGATGTCATACGAAAGAAATGTGGCGCATGTCGCTTTACGAAACTACAAATAGAATTGAAGCAAAAAAAAAAATATATATATATAATAACATGTAAAAAAGTCTAAGTTCGGGTGTAGCCGAATATTAGATACCCGGCGCAATTATTAAATATAGTTTTTTTCACCTTTCCGAAAACTACCGCTTCGTAGTAAGCAGGGGATGTTTTATCCCTATTTTAGCCCTTTTATTTTTGTAGTATGGCATAAATGGGTATTTTGACTATTAGTACTGAGGACTTTCTGATGACAACATTGAGGGGAAAATACTCAATTTTTTCCCATGGTCTGAACAAAAATCAATACTTTGATAAGCACTTTTGTGATTAGTGATAATGATAATATGACCACTCATATGATAATCAGCTGTCTTGTAGGATATTATTATGAAATTTAAAAGCCAAAAAGGATCAAAAGTCGCATGAATTTGTTAAAAATTTCCAAAATTGGTGTCAGGGAGATTAACTCTCCAAAAGAGGTAAATTAGGAATTAAGTCGCACAAGGGTAACACTGAGTGACACTGTATATATGTAGTCATAGTATCTTGCTCCAGTTGCAGTGTGTTCTAATTAATTGTCAATTAGAATTCACTAATTCGACTCGGCGCCATGAGCAACGATATGATTATGCTTTGACCGCACACGAAATATGCTGTGCATTCCCTTAGGAAGGTAGATACTTACTCAAATAGATGACAATATGTATACAAATTTATACATGTGAAAATATACCAATTAATCTTGACTTGTATACGTTCATTAATTATTAGCCAGTTGGGTAGAGTTTTGCCAATTTGGTTTTATGTAGTGTTAATAACTTAAGGGATATTCATTCCGCTTATATGCATAATAACTAACGCGTACATCTTTTTAGCACTCACTCACCTTTATCCTTATTTTTGCGTTGTTCCTTGGCGCTCTTATCCTTGGATTTGCCAGGTTTGCAATTCTTCTTGATGACACGTGTTGCTTCGCACGATGGATCGCTAGTCGCCTTTAATTTATCAGCGCGTGTCATTTGCCCAGTAGCACATTCAGACCAGGAACCCTTCTCATATCGGCAGGCTACGCGTGTGCAGAATTAATTGCAAAAAAAAAATAAAAATGTAAGTAGAAGAAAATTGGTTATTGTATTCAGTAATGATGTACGTAAGTAACTAAAGAGTAAATTTATTAGAATAATTAAAGTCATTTACCTAAATGTATGTTGTAGCAAAGATAAATGCATTGCCATTTAACCACACACATTTCTTAAGTATTTGTGAATACATATGGTTAGGCCGAGGAGTTGTGCTATTTTAAATTTATTTGGAAATATTAGCTGAATTCAAGTGAAATACCGCAGGGATTCTAAGCTGGCTGGCTTTCACCGTTCTCGCCGCTATAAATACCTTATAGCTGAATAAAGTGCTGAAAGCCTGAAATGTGATGGACGCCTAAAAATACTTTTGTTAAGTTAAATATACTCTAAAAGCTGCAGGCCCATGATGTCCGTCATGCTGAAATGTCAGGAGAGATTTGTCAAATTTCATGTTCGCAGGGAAGCGCTCTTATCACATCCTTTGTCTTTGTATCAGTGTGCCTAGCAGACGGGGAAATTTTGTGTACCGGGTTTTGCAAAATCTGGTTGTAGAAATTAGTAATGCCATCACTATGAAAGAATTCGCATTGCGAGTTTTTGTAGACGTTGACAATTCCACCCTCGTTAGCATATGCGACTTGGCTCCAATGCATGGTGTAGAGGGTCAACTTTGTCTAGAAGTGATTTTTAGTTCACATCGAAAAATAAGCGATAGTGAAATATCGATCATCACTATTAGTTGAAGCCAACGCAGCATTTTCGGACGGAAAAGAGCTGGATTATCTGCGGAGCTGTTTAGAGGGGATGCACAGTGCCGCCTAAGTGGGCAAAAATCGAAAAATTCGTTGTCTGCAATGTGAGCGTGTTTGGTGTTTTTGTTTAGGCTTTTTATCCACTAAAAAGAATTTAACAGAAATTTCCTAATAAAATAAATTATATGCCGCCGGGAAGCCACTAGCCAAGTAAAGTATAAATTTTATACTAAGAATTTTTATAAACTCTTCACGAAAACAAATGTGTAAAAATACATTATTTGAAATAAAATGTTGGTTTGACATTTTTTACTTCCATATAGATAGTAGAGCACTACAGGAATACAAATTTTGGAATAAAATTAAATACAATTTCAGAAAAACAAACAAATTAATCAAAATTTCAAAAAAAAAATTTTATGGAATGAATAAAAAAGATATGTAAAAATATGTTATTTTTTTAATTTATTTAATTTTAATATTTAATAGTACGGGTTTATAACTTTCGAAAGAGGAAATAATGGGTTTTTGGCTAATGCATAAAATAATTTTCTGATTTTTTGTCAAGTACATCAGATCGGCACGATTCGTTATATTGAAATCTCAAAATGAAGTGTCAGACTAAAATGTTTGACCTGTAGACAATAGAGGTTTTTTTAAAGACCTGCCACCTGTTAAAAATGAAATTCAAATTTTTTAACAAGTTAAATGAATTATTAAGAGATGGGTATCAATCGAAATGTGTGTGAAAAGGGTTTATTTCTTAACTACATGTAGAGGGTTGCCAACTCTTTAAAAAATAAAATTCCCCTTACATTAAATTAGGTAATTGAAATAGATAGGTATCACCATATGGTAGTCAGGCGAAAGAGGTTTGAGAACGTCTTAGCTTGCAAATATTACGAAGAGTGCTGCCACCTGTTCGCAAAGTCAAATTTATTTAATTCCAAATAATAATTGTTTCAAACCAAAGGATTACGATATCGTATTTGTTATTTTATTACAAATGCATACATTGTCAATCAGTGATTTGTTCTGATTACATTCCTTTTAAATTACTGGACTCTTAAATTTACTCAGGAATGTTTTTACTCTTCACCTATTTCTTGCTAAATATGTCAAAATTTTTCTTTTGTGTGATATATCAATATCAATATACATATTTCTTACATAATATACCTTTTCCCTTAATTAATGTGAATTTGATTTTTTAAACATGTGGCAACTCTTCTACGTGTCGTTTAGAAGTAAAGCGTTTTCAAACCCGTTTTAATTGATTCCCCTATATTGTAATATCTAATTCACTTAACTTATTAAATAGTTTTAATAAAATATGCAACAGGTGGCAACCCGTTAAAAAAAAAAAAAAAATATTGCACATCTACAGGTCAAGCCTTGTCATTTAACACCACACTTTTGAAAATAGGAGTAACTATATGTACATATACATACATATAAACTTTCACTACAATTTAGTTTATTACAAATATGACTTTATTTTCGTACTCAATTAGCTTAAAGCTCTTAATACAGCAACTTGCTTGGCATAAAGGCCTACTCGATCGACAAACCCCTTCTTCATCTTATCACAGAAAATATCCCCCATAAAACACCACAAAATAGACCATTTGAGACTACTTAAATGACCAAAAGGCATATAAAACAAAAACTATACTCGCAGCAGTGGTAATAAAAAAAAAGTTGTTGGTTATTTGTGGTAGCCAAGTTTTGGTCTAAGGACGTAAATTCTCATACAATGTTATGCTCGCAAACAATTTAACTACAAAATTGGATGCTTCCTCACAGTGCTGTGCTGCATATGCACGGATAAGCAGAAATGCGTGCCTATGAAATGGGGCAAATGACTGCAACTATGGAGATGTGTGAGTGTTTCTTTAAGCAATAAAGACCGAGATCTGCTGCATACATATAGCAGCGAAATTAATGGTGCATATGTGAGAGAGTGCGTGCTGCCGCTTCCTGTACAAGGCAGGAAAAGCCCAGAGGAAACGAGTTAAGGCACTATCTTCGTACATAAACACATACATAAAAGGAGATACTAGTATATATGTAAATAGCCGCATATTCCGGTAAACGCAAATACAGTGGTCGAAAAATTTATAGCCACATCAAATATTGAAAAGTTTTCACTAGTTCTGTTTTTTTTTGTTATTTAATTTTGTTTTTTTGTTTATAAAAATATTACTAATTTTTTAACAAAAATCAATAAACTTTGGTAAAAATTTTGAGCATTTTAATTAGAACTCTCAACTTCTATATTCTCGAAAACAATTTGCTAAGTGAAAAATGATTTTAATTTTTTGAAACTCATGTGGAAATTGACAGAAAATTAAAAATCGTTTGCTTTTAAATTGCTGGGGAAACCGGCTGTTAGAAAGATTTTGAATACGAATTTTTTATATCACTCAAATCCAGTATAATGAAGTACAAGTGTCAAATGGCTAACAATTACCGTTGAAAATTTTGAAATTTTTTCGAAGGTGTTACGGTTTTCTTCCTATAAAAATCAAAAGTGTTTATTCATTATATTGAAACATGTTAAACAATTAACTATATTTTTATTAAAAAAAAAATTTTAATTAAAAAAATAAAAATGTCATGCGGCTATAATTTTTTCAATCACTGTATATATCCTCACTTGTACATGTGTGCGCTACGTGGCGGTAGTTTCGGTAATAAAATTTAAACGAAATCCTACCAATTTACATTTTACAATCTGTGTCGCCGACCATCGTTATCAGTGACAGCAAATGGTCCAAACGATGGATGGCCAGTTGTTGGGCGAACGACCTGTCGCATAGGCTTGCGTAAATGTGGTTGATTGGCGTGCCACGCCTATGGCAGAGAAGACGAAAAATATACATTAGTATGTACATACATACAGTTGTCCACAAAATAATAGGAGTGCGATATTTTGACCAGTTTT